AAAAAAAGTATTGAAAGGAGATGAACTGAGAGAGGTAATCTGGAGTTTTGGCTTCTTGGAGAGACTGTAGGGAATGCTCTGGATAACTAGAAGGAGAAATGAGGGCACTGGGTAGGGGAAGAAGAAAACAGGGTTCTAAGAGCCTGGAAGAAGGATGCAGAAAGGGGATAGAAAGATGTCAGTGACGATTTGCAAATCTTGGAGGAACAACCCTGATTTTTCCCTTCTTCCTAGAGACAAAAGGAAAAGCAACTTTTCTCTTTTTAGAAAATTGGGAAGAGACAGGGTAGAAAGAATTATTACAATAATAATAGTAATAGCAACTATTATAAAGTACACTTACCATGTGTCAGGTACTGTTCAAATTAAAAATTTAATCCTCAGAACAACACGGGGTAGAAGCTATTAGCTTCATCTTATGATGAGGCAGGTGTGCTGTTAGCCTTGCCTCAGGTGTGCAGTATCTGGGATTGCAGGTGAAAAGGACAGGGACATGAAGCAGCCTCTCTAGCTGGAAGTCCTTCACCTCCCACCCTGATATGTTTGACCTGGGAAGGACAAACAATACTAGGCAGGTGGGATTTCTGGTACTATATAATACACAAGCTTCTAGTGTGAGAAGGGGAAGAGAGATGTTACCTGACATTGCCCATGAGTACTCGAGAGGACAGGAATATCATCAGCGTTGGACTGTCTCTAGTTATAGGTTTTTAATTGGGATGGGAGCTGATGAATATAAGAGGTCAGTCCTCTCTGGGCTGCACTTGCTGCTATGAAATGAAGGCATTGCATTAATAGTTAAATCTCTGAGATCCTTTCCAGCACAAACACTACAATTCTAAAACCTGGTTGTTGGATGTGACAAATTATGATCTCTCTCTAACTGCATATGTTCCAGAGCGTGGTATTTTGGATATAAATATGCCAATGTCTGCTGTCTGTATTCGTGTGTATTCCAGCTATATGACTACAACTTTTTGTTTGTGGATAAACAAGGGATGCTTTGTGGTTTGCTCCAGGAAAGACCAAATGGCTCTGGAGGCAGTAAATTCTAAGATCACTGACTCAAGTCATAGTGGGAAGGTAAATGATCCCAGAAAAGATTTTAATCTATAATCATTCATTGGGACAGTTATTTTTTTCTATTCTTTTTACAACCAAATCTAATTAAGTCTTGAAATTAACTTTATGAGAGAGCACAGGCTTTTACAGAAGAGGAAAAAGAAGACTCAGAGGCTGAAGGACTTGTCCAAGATTACAAAGCTTGTTAGAACCAGAGCCAGAACTGGGATCTAGGGCTTCTGACACTTGGTGTGTGCATTCTTCCCACTACTGCGCTGCTTGTAAGAAGAGAGCCTGTGCGTAGAAACCTATTAAGGAGACTGTGTTTTCTGGAAAGCAAAGTGCATAGCCTCTGGCCTCAGCATGCTAGGCCCACTGGGCAGCTCTATTCCAACTCTGAAGCTTACTGACTGCAGCATCCTCTCACTCAGAGCAGAGCCTCACACAACTTAAAAGATAAGGGCTCTTTCAGGAGCCGTGAACTGTGATTAATTAGAGAGTCAGAGGGCAAGGATAAGAAGTAATAACATTCTGCAGCTTCTGGCAAAATGTGAAAGATGTTTACTAACTCTTTCCCAGGGTCATGTCTATAAAGCAGGGATGTGATTATACCATCTCTCAAGGTTCTTGTGAGAATCAAAGGAGATAATTAGGTAAAAGGGACTCTGAAAAACACACATAAGTTTGAGCTTTCATTCAACCAACAGTGATCACCTACATTTCCCAGGACCTGTGTTAGGAACTAGAGAAATACTAAGACCAAGAAATAAGGAGCTCAGAATCACATTACATATTGTCTGTCCTCTCATCTTCTTTCTCTTTGTCTCTTCTTGTCTAGGACCGTATGAGGGAAGAGGGGACCCTGTTGTCCTGTCCAATTCCCCAGCTTCAGTCCCAGGGAATTTTTGCTGTGGCCAGCATCCGGGCTTATATTTCATTGGCAGAGAGCTATCACTCATTCACCAAATCACTAATTCACTTACTGAGAGCAAGGCATGGCTCTGGGTGCTAGGGATACAAATAAACAAGATACCTGCCCTGTGGACCAGACCTAAACAAATCAATGCATAAATAAATATCTATCCACAAGTCATGGGGAGGGTGTTACATGGTGGGGAGAGAGGAGTAGAACCAGTTTAAAGACCTCTCTAGGGAGGAATGAAGCTGAGACAGTTGGAGTATGAAAAGCCAGTCATAGGCATAGCCTCAGAGGAACCCTCTAGGCAAAGGGAACAACAACATGGTCAAAGGCCCTTGAACTGGGAGGGAACATGTTGTCGTCAAAGAAGCAACACAAAAGCAGTGGGACAGAACCCAGAGCAAGCAGGACAGTGTTCTTTGATGAGATCAGAGTGAGAGGCCAGGGTAGGACCACACTGACGTTGGAGATAAGGTAGGGAATTCGTTGTAAGTACACTGCACTTTTTTTTTGGGGGGGGGGGTAACTGGGGATTGAACCCAGAGCCTTGTGCATGCTAAGCAAATACTTAACCACTAAGCTACATCCCCAGCCCCGTGTACTGTGCTTCTAATGCCTTCTTCTCTCCCTTCCCAGTGTAGTGAAAAATGAGCTGGTTTGTTCCACTAATCCTATTGTCCCTAGATATCAATGAAAGGTTGGAAGTTAGTTAGAGAAATCTGGCATAGTACAAATTACCAAAGAAGTGGTTAGTTTCCATTCTTTTTCTTTAGTTGAGTAACCTTGAAACTCATCTGACCCAGAGCCTATGGACCAGGTTGATGATGACAGAAGTTTTTATCCCTACCCTCTGCAGTGATTCCAAATCCATAAAAATAAATTTGCTAATTCAGTGTTCATTGTGCCTGTTGTATATGGACTCAGTTTGCTTAGATAGCTGGCATTCTTGGAGTGGGGTCTTGACTTACCACTTAAAATCTAGGAGGGTTTTGTGTATAAATAACCATAATAAAGAGAAAAATTTAATAAAAGCCAAGAGGGATAATGGACATTATCAAAGTAATAAAGCTCTTTGTGTGTGTGTGTGTGGTGGTACATGAGGTTTGAACTCAGGGTCTCACACTTGCTAGGCAGGCATTCTACCACTCGAACCATTCTACCAGTCCAGAAAACTCTTTCAATTACATGTTTTAGGAGCCATTGAGCTCTCCTCTGTCAAGAATCCAACACCACAAACTGCCAGGTAGAGCCAGGTGCCCCCATTCCCTGAAAATGAGGACACAACATGGTACTTTTGGTACCTGTCTGGGAAGAAAGTTAGAATATAGGTTTGGGGGGCCATGACTCAAGTGGTAGAGTACTTGCTTAGCATGTTTAAGGCTCTGGGTTCAATCTGCAGTCTTGGGGGGGGCGAATTTAAAAAGGAAAGTGGTGTGTATGTATCAAAATTTAAAAATATTCAACGTGATCCAATAACCCCACTTTCATGGCTCTATCCTTACACAAAAATCTGAAATTTGTCCAAGGATTTACTGGTTTGTAACAGTAGTAGTTGGAAACAACTTAAATATCCAGTGTGGATTAGATAAGTACATTATGGTACATCCTCATAATGGAATAGTATTTAAGTGAAATTTCTGAAACACAGTAGTGACTTGTGGAAAGGCCGAAGACATTATTTTAAAGCGATGTACTAGGTGGGCATGGTGGTGCACTGCTGTAACCTCAGCATTTGGGAGGCTGAGGCAGGAGGATTGTGAGTTCAAAATCAGCCTGGGCTACATACGGAGACCTTTTCTCAGAAATAGAAATTAAATAAATAAATGAAGGAATGTGCTAACGAATCATTACAATACAGTAGAACAAGTGCTTTGACAGACAAGGTAGCAACAACTGGGGTAGTGAAAGAAGGTTTCTCAGGAATACCACATTCGAAGTGAGTCTCAAAGGTTGCGGAGGAGTTTCCAGGTGGAGGAGAAAGGACCAAGTGGAGGCCCTAAATTCTCACAAAGATTGGGAAGGTAACAGACCTCTTGAGAAGGCTTTCAGCAGCCATACCTCTCATTTGCCACGTCGTCAAGCCCGTGGTCTCTCTGTGCATGAGGTGGAGAGCCATGACAGCCATCATCAGGTGGAGAAGAGGGAGGCGGAGGAAGGCTGGGCAGCTCTTGGGTTGGGGTGGACGCAACGCCCAGCCCAGGGCCTGCGGCTCAGGCTTCCCGGGTGAAATAAGTCCCAGGGCTAACGCGGCCTCTCCACCCAGTCCCTCCATGGGCGCCAGAAAACGACCCCCCGCAGCTACTGCGCAGCGCGCAAGCGCAGTCAGCCACTGAGCCCGCAGCAGTGGGGAAGTTCGCAGCCTGGAGGATGAAGAGTATGTGAGGCCCACCCGGCTTGAGAGAGTGACTCCAAGGTAAGGGGCCTGCCTGGGTGAGATGGCTCAGGCCTGGGGGCCCCAGCGCACGCGGGGCATCCCTCAGAGCTCGTAGCCTTGGTTCTTGGGGACCGCAGGCCTTTCCAGGCCTCTGCCCCACTCAGTTGGGTCCTACTCCAAGGCCCCTCGGCTGGTCTCCCCCGCAGCACCCTAAGACCCCTTTTCCACTTCCTTCTAAAGCCTGAGTTATCCTGTGTGCCCCCGACTGCCTGGTCTCTTAGGGGCAACCTAGTCTCTACTTGGCTTCCGGACACCTGACTTCCTTGGGTTTGGTCTGGATAATTTCTCGACTTCCATTCCTGGCCCATCCTGTCCAGGAGCTGGTGCCACCCTGGGATTTAAAACTCAGCCCTAGGGCTGTTTTCTTGAGGCATAAGAGCTCTGGACAAAATCAGGCTCTTCCATAGCTTAGACTTCTCCTTGCTTCTGTCTCTCTAGGCTGTAGGGTGACTGGAGATCTAGGTAGCTGAAGGATGCTGGAGAGGGGAAGATTGACATTTGCATTTGTATGCCTCTCTTATCACCTGCACTCTCCCTCACAGTACCCAGTCACTAGTGTCTTATTCTTGTTCTTGGGCTCACAGCATGTCTTGTGTGGACAAAGACACCCACAGGCTGTCCAACAGTGGGACAACCCTCTACACAGTGTTGGAGCTTAAGAAGGGTGCCTCACCTGAAGACATCAAAAAGGCCTACAGGTTAAGATACCAGCCCTTTATTGAACCCTAGGATCCCCACCACCACCACAAACCCTTTTCTTCCCACCTTGCCTTCTGACCCATTTTTAAATTCCAAGAACCCTTTATTTGGAGACCAAAAGAGGACATCAGCCTCTTCACTATGCCATGGAAAGAAATTTAGATCTTGGTTGCTTGTCTCCGTCCTTTTGTACCACATCTCCTGCATTCCTTGTACTTTCTAGAGCTCTATCCCTGCCATTTATCCTAACCCTACCTCCTCAGCCGTTCCCCATCTCTTCCCACCCTCCTTTGGCACATTGTCTGCATAGGAGACTGGCCTTGCAGTATCATCCAGACAAGAATCCAGGGAACCCTCAAGCAGCAGAATTCTTCAAAGAGATCAACGCAGCCCATTCTGTGCTAAGTGATTCTAAGAAGCGGAAAATCTATGACCAGCATGGCTCATTGGGAATATACGTATATGATAATTTTGGCGAAGAAGGTGTCACATACTATTTTATAATGCAGAATTGTTGGTTCAAGGTACACAATTCTTCCTAGTCTCTTAAGAATAAGGAAAGAGCCAGGCGTGATAGTGTATGCCTATAATCCCAACACTTGAGAGGCTGAGGCAGAAGGATCACAAGTTTGACACCAACCTGGGCTACATAGTTAGACCTTGTCTCAAAAAAACACAGGGGATTGGGGGAATGAAGGCATGACTCAAGTGGTAGAGCACCTGCCTCGTAAGTACAAGACCAAGTTCAAACCCCGGTACTGCCAAATAAATAAACACACACACACATATACACACACACACCCTATCTCCCCTGCTACCCAGCACTACCATCACACAAAGATAAACTAATTGATAGCAATGAAAAAAATTTAGAAAAAAAAAAAAAGAATAAGGACAGGAGGGGTGACCCTCCTGTCCTAGGAAAAGTGGTATGTTATGCAAGGATGATGGAGAGAAGGTAGCTTGAACGGAACTACAGAACTGCTGGACCAAGGCCTCTCTCCTATCTTTTAGACACTTGTCATACTTTGTACACTGCTAACTTGCTGTTGTTGTTGCTGCTGCTGCTGCTATTGCTGTGGAACACTTAAACCACCTCCTGAGGAGTTGAATAACGATTATCAACAAAATGTCCATACTCAACCTCCAAAGTCAGGTGAGGCCAGAGGCAGGGACTGATGTCAGATCTGGATTAGGAGTGAAAGAAAAGGTTGAAGGATGAGAAAGACCTGTGAAAATGGCAGGTTAGCTCTTAAGCATGGCACTTTCAAGTCTGGTCTTGGGGCAAAGTGAAGAAAGAAAAAGCAGTCAATGCATCTTATGCTGCACACTGACAGTGTGAATGTAGCCTTGGCCTCTCCTGACTGTTGAGGTTGAAAACAGGTTCAAAGATGTAGTTTATTGCAGCTCCTCAAAAGAAAGATGAACTATATATATTTGGTAGTACTAGGGTTTGAACTTAGAGGCTTGCACTTGCCAGGCAGGTGCTCTGTCACTTGAGCCACACCTGCAGCTCCTAAACTGGGGATATGGCTCAGTGGTAGAGCACTTGCCTAGTATGAGACATAAAGAAAAGGGGCGGGGGGGAGCGGAAGATGACGTGTTTGAGTGTTTGATAATAATTAAAATGGTGGGGTGGATGAAGTTTACACCAGTGCCACCTTGTGATACTAATGAGTAATTGCAAGATAATGTTTTTCTCATTTGTAGACTAAAAATTACTACTGCTCATATATGTAAACATATGCATAATTCCATCATAGGAACAAAAAGAAAGGAAGAGGAAGATGGTGAAAACCATTAGTGAAATATGAAGAAATATAAGGTTTGTAAACTGAAATGCAGCAGTGATTAAAGGGTAAGAGAAGCATCTAAGCTAATTTCAGATGATCCTTGTGAAAAGTTTATGTCTTTATAGCATGGACTCCAGGTGTTTACATCCTTACACAGAGGAGATTTGCTTTAAATTCTAGGTGATTATTCCTCCTGGTTAATAAGGTGCCAACTGTTTCTGCCATTAGGTGCTGGTTCCAGTGAGGGTTCCCTCTGCTGCCCAGTCCACTGGACACGTTGAAGAGAGGAGCAAGTAGTCCATCCTGATTTGACTCCTCTTCTTATAAGAATCCCTACTTCAGAAGCATTTCTGATGTCCATCCCAGTAAGGACAGCATCTCTGCCCTCAATGGTCCCACTGATCCTGGCCATATGGAATCTTCCAGCTACTCTTCTTTTTAGCCCCAGTCGCACTTTTAATCTTCAGAGAGCAGCTCTCCCATCCCTACCCACATGAGGTCTGAGACAGTGGTGACAGACTTACCTGAGGATTCTTTTTCCTATGCTTGCTTTGGCATTTAAGCCAATATCAGGTAGGTCTCTAACACATTTGTGATATCTCCACCAAGATCCTGATAACTGAGCAAGGTGGGTCCTGTCCAAGGTGCTGCTGCATCAGTTAATCCTCCTTTTTTGTAACTATGTGTGCCAAGAATTCCTAGCTTAGCCTCATGCATAAGCCGTTACACCTTTGTGACACTGGGCTCATCTTCTTTTGCCTGCACCATTGACATTGCAGCCTCATCCACAAGACAACTTGGGAAACATATGAGTGCATTTGGAGCTTATGGGAAGCCACCCTATCTTGGCTTTGCCGTGGACTTCAGTTACAACCCAGCATCTGTTATCAGCCTTGGTCCTGACAATGGCTGCAGTCCACACATCAGTGCCTGCTGCCTCCATCCTTCACCACACCTCATGTAGACGGATCACCATATAGCTTGTTCCTAAAACAAGGGCATGAACCGTAATAAGGAAAGAGTATGTTTTGTAGGCTCCCTACCCACTCTTGCCTCTTCATGTTGCCTGTTTGTCAACCTCTCCATACCATTTCTTTCTTGTTCATCCACATGGAGTCAGGACCTAGGGACTCCTCAAACTTCCCTTACTGGGAGAAGGGCAAAGGAATGTCAGTAAATAAAAAGAGCTTTTGTCCAAACCCACCAGTATGTGTGTTTGGCCCCCAAAAGAAATGTGGTTCCTGGGATAGAGGAGAAGGGCAATGGGAAAAAGACAGAAGACTAGTGCTCACATCTGGAACAAGCCTGGTACAAAGAGTAGAGTCCAGGACAACTGTGGCATTGGAGTCAAAACTTCCCAGAGCCTGGTGATGGTGGCTTTGTCAGTGCTCTAACTTTTTTTCTTTTTTTTCCTGGTGGATCTGGGGTTTGAACTCAGGGCTTCTGCCTTGCAAATCAGACTTTCTACCACTTGAGCCACACCTCCAATCCTATCAGTGCTCTGGGATTTCCCTAGAGACTGATTTCCTGGTGCCCCAAATAGGTCTTTGGCATTCAGATCCTTTCTGCCCAACTCAGCTTTTCCCAGTTTCCAAACAAATTTAAAGTCCTTGGAGTGACTTCAGTAATGTGTTCTTAGGCCAGAATCACACACTGTCTTGGAACATGCTCATAAGGTTTAGAACTGGCATTAGCAGCCACCTCTAGCTGCTCAAACTGCTTTCCTAGGGGGACATAAGAAAGGGCTGAAGGCTGGGGATAGCAGTACATTTCTGTAATCCCAACACTTGAGAGGCTGAGGCAGAAGGATTGAGAGTTTAAGGCCAGCCTGTGCTACATAGCAAGTTCCAGGCCAACCTGAGCTAAATAGCATGATCCTGTCTCAAAAGACAAAAAGAAAAGGCTGGGCAAGAACAAATGTAAGCCACAAACATTGGGATAAAATGCTGTGTACAGTGTCTGGTACCCCTCTTAGGAACACACAATCTTGAGGCAGAGGGCCAGGATCACTGGCTAAACCTATGGAAAAGGAGACTGTCACTGACTCTCTGCAGGTCTGACCTGATCTTTCCTCCCACCCTGAGCCACAAGCTGGTTTAGAGACTGTCACTGTCCATACAGAGCATGGGGGCCAACAGGGCTTACAGGAGCCATCTGAGTGAGAGCCCCTCACCTTTGCCAGCCCACCTTCTACCACAGCAGTGACATTGACCCTGCTCTTGCTCAAGGGAATCAGTCACCCATTCCTGAGTGAGTCAGGGTCATTCACTTGGTGACAGCTGTGGCTCGCCTTACATGAGCTAAATTGGGAGTTGGAATGTCACACAGATGCCCCTTGTCTCCCCACCCCCACAGTTAATATTACTCTCCTCTCTGGGGAGTAAGAGACAAACAGTGCTGCCCAAGAGTGAGCAAGAGAGTGGTTTGGGGAAAAAAGAATTTCACAGGGAGGAAGGGATAAGGCTACTTGTGCTTGGTGAGGGTGCTGAGCAAGAAGTAGAAAGAGAAGTATCAGGAGAGAGCCAGGGGTGAGGTGAGCTAGAGGAAGGGACAGGAGACACAGCAGTGCTATTTCAAGAAGGAACAACAGAAGGGAACCTAAGAATTCACAGCCGGTCTGAAGTGAAGGCAGCAGGGTGCAGAGGCAGTGAAAGAAGGCCAGAGTGAGCACGAGCGCTGCGGGATGAACTTCACAGTGGGTTTCAAGCCGCTGCTTGGGGATGCACACAGCATGGACAACCTGGAAAAGCAGCTCATCTGCCCCATCTGCCTGGAGATGTTTTCCAAGCCCGTGGTGATCCTGCCCTGCCAGCACAACCTTTGCCGCAAGTGCGCCAACGACGTCTTCCAGGTGGGCCCAAGGATGGGGAGGCCAGGTCAAGTGGTGCAGACTGCAGGCACCCCCCAAGTGACAGGTAGAGTCCTGGGAGGCAGGTGGGGCTGCTGTGTCTGAGGAGCAGGAGAGCTGGGGTCCTGGGATCCCAGAGTAAGCATGAGTCAGCAGCTGCCCCGAGGCTGGCAAATGCCTGTGCCCACAGCAGTTAGAAGGTAGGATTCAGAGGGGACAGAGGACCAGTAGAAACTGGGAGGGCATGGGACTGCAGTGGGCTTTGTAGGAGCCTGAGCTAGACTCGGTGTGCTATTGGTTTTAGACTTTGAGATTGTTATGGAAAGTCTGGTGAAGAGATCTGTGAAATGCTGAACCCCTAATAACAATAAACCTTGTGAGAAAGCCCACAATGGTAGTAGAACTATTTGTAATTAACACAAAGCTCATACTTGCCTGGCAAGGGAGATACCATGATCACAAAGGTGGTTTTCCCGGGGCAGGACTTATCAATGCACTTCCAATGTGCTGACCCCTGTGATTTCCCCAATTGTGGGAAACTCTGCTGCATCATTTGTGGTAGTGGGGGACTGTGTTCGCACTCTCCCTTGATAATAAATAAATAAACAATAACAAAGCAAAACTCAAGGCTTTGCCTTCCATGTTGGGGGGCAAAATTAGACATAATGATGGGCAACAGACATGGAATTCTCCCCAACATCAGTGCATGCCTGTGACCCTTCCAGACTCAGTAAAGAGGCCTACAGGCTAAAAGATACTGAGGATACTAGACAAGCAGACAGAAAGTAAGAAGAAAGTATACTTCCCAGAAGGGCAGCCAGTTTGGGTTTATTATGGTCATGGGGCCAAACATAGCTAAGCAAAGTCACAGGTAATCATTTTGGCCACTGATTTTAAAAATCAAAGGCATGCACCAGAAGGGTTTATCATGAGCTTGCTTTCCTGCCCTGTGCCACTGGTGGAGGTTCTAGGAGGCTCTAGAATGGCTTAGAGGTCAGAGAGAAATGAGGGGAAAAGGTGTACACACAGACACGGGAACTTGCAGAGGGAGCATCAACAACAGAATTCTTCATCTGTATCAAAAAGTATGAGGAAATATGTCAAGCTTTTCTCCTGCTCTTTCTTCTCTTCTTCCTCTTCCTCCTTATGCTGAGGATTGAACCCAGCACCTGTGCATGCTATGCAGATGCTCTACCATTGAGCTACACCCCTAGCCTCAACACAAATTTTCAACTAAGAAAATACTTCTCCTTTAGGTTTGTTGGGTCAGCATGTTTGTGGGAGAAAGAATGGGGCGGCTAAATCAGCTATCACCACAATATATCCTTAACCCCCCTGCCTTACCCCTCGTCTGACTTCTTTTTGCCAGCTTCACTGAGTGCCCAACAATCTGCAGTCTCTCCTGACATCTTCCTGTCCAAGGCTCCCTTCTGCCTCCTTTTCTTCAGAGTCTCCAAATCTACTATTACTTGGCTTGAGAGTCCTAGATTTCCCTGTGTGGGGCCTAGACTGAGTGTTATGTCTGTTCATCCCAGGCTTTGAGTCTTGTGTGAGAGTCTATGCCTTGTCTACCACCTTGGTTTTTCTTTTGATCTAAGTAAGTGATGAATCTTTCAGGCTGAGATGCATGGGAGAGAATGGCAGAAAAATTTTGCCATTCTTCCAGGTGCCGATGGCTCACGCCTATAATCCTAGCTACTCAGGAGGCAGAGATCAGGAGGATCACAGTTCAAAGCCAGTCCTGGATAAATAGTTCAGGAGAACTTATCTTCAAAAAACCCATCACAAAAGAGGGCTGGTGGAGTGGGCTCAAGTGATAGAGCACTGCCTAGCAGTGCCACACACAAACACAAAGTCCATTCTTTCTCATGGACTTACAGTGAAACTTCTCTCATTAGAATCTAAAACACATGAAGTCAAAGAGAAGTTTGGAAAACTAAGGTAATATGCCCTATAAAGAGTGACCAAAATGTTAAAGTGTAAGCCACATGGTATTGTCTGGGCAACAGGACCCAGGCAAAGGTCATACACAGAGGCTAAAGGGTATTTAAGTGTCCTCCCCTGCAGTCCTCTATATCTAGGCACACTATTTGGGCTCCAAGACGCTTGCTCTAGAATACTGATCTAGGCCCAGAGAGCCCAGGAATAGTTTGAGTCAAACCCCATACAAGAGCTAGGTACAGTGACAAATGCCTGTAGTCCCAGCTACTAGGGAGGCTAATGAGGGAGAATCACTGAAGCCCATGAGTTTGAGGATAGCTAGGGAATACAATGAGACCCCCCCATCTCAAGCCAACAAAAGAAAACCAAAAGCCCTAGCCACACGCAGACTATTCAAGAGGTAACACGATCTAGGGCTATGGAATGGCTGCACCTTTGAAGTCAAAAGCACCCAGCCCCCCCAGCAGCACAGTGAACAGCTCATTCTCTTGTTGCTTTATTTTGAGGGTCTGGGGGAGGCCGACCCAGTTATCCAGCTGCACCTATGTCTATATCTCAGCAGATCTTAGCAGCTCTCGGTCTGAAAGATGAGCATATTTAGTTTTTCACACATTGCCTCCACATTTTGACACCTCTGGGCATAATCAGATTGTGTGTTTTCTAAGGATGGTGACAAGAATAGAACTTTTGGTTCTTCTATCTTCAAACCACTTAGGCAGAAAACCTTTAGAACATTGCCTCGAAAGTTAACAGTTATGAAAGTGACACCAGTATACCATATTTAAAATTTCATATGTACATTTTTTTTCAAACACCATAGGCATTTATATCATGAAAAATAAATCTGCTACTAACCTCTGACCCTCAATTCCCTTCACCAGCTAGAAGAACCATTACCAACTTTCTTGGGAATCCTTCCAGAAAGTTCCTTGTGTAGGCACATACTTTGATTAGACTAAATTCCTTACTCCTCGTGTGATTGTTCTATATCACACATTGAGCTCTGTGTCTTCCGTTTATTTATTTATTGTGGTACTGAAGCTTGAACTCAGGGCTTCATGCCTGCTAAGCAGGCGCTCTAATCACTTGAGCGCCTCTAATCACTTGGTGGAGAGCCACTCCACCAGCTCTCTTTAGTTTTGGATATTTTTGAGATAGTGCCTTGAACCACAATCCTTATAAGCCTTTGCCTCCTGAGTGGTTAGGATTACAGGTGTGAGCCATGGATGCCTGGCCTGTGTCTTCCACTTTATTTTATTTATATTATTATTATTATTATCATTATTATTGCAGTACTGGGGCATGAATTCAGGGCCTTCACCTTGAGCCACTCCACCAGCCCTGTTTTTAATGGGCTTTTTTGAGATAGGTCTCGTGGAACTATTTGCCCAGGCTGGTTTTGAACCTTGATCCTCCTGATCTCTTCCTCCTGAGTAACTAGGATTACAGGCATGAGCCACCAGCATCCAGCCAGTGTCTTCCATTTTAAAAGCTGTATAGTGACCCATGGTTATGACCAGATCATTGTCTAATCCATCCTCTAAAACATTTAGACGTCTCCAGTGTCAGCTGTCCTAAAAACTGCCATGATAGACAACAAATGAGAATTTTAGATAATTGTGATTTGATAAGATGAGGTTAACTACTCAGCCAGGAAGTCAAATTTGAAAAGTTAGAACATTTTAATTGGAAATGTTTAACAAGATTAAAGGTTTAGGAGGAATTCATCCCTAATCCTGTTTCACTCAATCCAATTTTTTTCATTTTCACATATTACTTTCAAGCCCCCGTCTCCATACACATTTTACACAGTTGCCATTATAATTATCTTTAGAGCTGTATCACATCTCTCTCTTTTTCTCCGAAGTGAAACAGAAAACAGAAAAATATGACATTAAGCCCCTCTAATTTCTCCCTCCCTTTTTCCCCACACTTGTACCCACTCAGTTACTAAGAATTTTGACTAGAGCAAAGCTGTTGGTGTGAGAATTTGACGCAAACATCTTCCCATGTGTTTCTGTATTCGTGAACTCTATTTACATCTAAACTACTTTAAAGCAAGCCTTCAGTTGATTTTCATACCTGCCCCCGCTTGCTGTGGGCACTTGTATCTGAGCTGCAACCTGTTGTTCAGCAGAAGGGCAGAGGTGGGTGTGAGAAGGTTGCTCAAAGGCAGCTTCTCTGGAGGAGGTCCAGTGAGGGAGGGACTTACAGAGGGACTCTGGAGAAAGAGGCTTCTTCTCCAATGAAAGGGAGGCTAGGAAAGAGACAACCTCGGTTTCACTCTGGCCCAATTCTAGCTCTCTTTTGTTCAGCATCAGGACCCGTTGTCATCAGGTACAGGCTCCCATCAGACTGCTCCCACCACATCCACCAGCCCTACCTTGGCAGGTCTCCTTCATGAGAAATTGGCTCACTGAAATTCTGTGTGTTGTGTTTAACCTTGTAGCAGGGCTTGGGATCTTTCCTGTAGGGAAGAAACTTGGTTTCATGGAAACAAAAACCTCTACTGAGACTTAGCACTCCTGGCTTCTTCTCCCACGTCTTTCTCTGGTAATTTGCCGCAACATGTAAAGCAAGAGGCTATTTTGCCTCTTCTCCTGTTCTCACATCTTTAGATTAAAAGGGTGTTTTAAACAGATCTTAACATCCTTGTAACTCTAACAATCTGGCTTCACAGACACAAAAGTGATGATTATGGTTGGCCAAGTTTAAGGCTTTCCATCCTGTCTCCAGGGTCCTCACTCTGCCCACTTCTGTTTATCATCCCTACTTTTAGCAGTTGGGCTCTGTTTATCACCCTTGGGCCCAGGCCCTTCCTATGCTGTCAGCCTTGGCTAACCCTCCTCTCAAAATCCCTCTTATACCAACAGCCCAGCTTTTACCCAAGCCTGACTCTTCTAAGACTCTGCAACTTTTCTAAATGTCTGGTCTTCTGCTCGCCCTGTTCCCATAGTTTCTCCATTTGCCAAGGGTCTGGCTCACAGAACTTGCATGGCCAACTGCTCATCATTGGCCAGGCCATCATGTTGGGATAGGTAGCCTCCAACAACCTGCCTTGC